ACAGCTATGTAACAAATACATTTCTAAGAGGGAAATTGCCGACTTAAATAAATGATAATGATAAAATACCAAGGAATTTAGGAGTTTCATGGGTACCAATTCAATGGAAATTTGTATTAAAATAAGAGCCCCCGTCAGCACTAAAAGAGCCCCCGTGAGAAGGCTCACGGGGCTCTTTTTTTTTGGAAGAGCCCCCGTGGACAAAAAATTAATTTGAGCCCTGGGGGCCTCCATGTTACAGTAGGCAATGGGTTAAGAGAATGACAAACCTTTGGTAAGGAAACGCAATGGCTTAACACTTTCTTTCAAAGTTGAAGAAGTACATCCCCAGGCAAAAACAAAACCTAGCACACGTCTTTATGTATATTCTTGAACACGAGAATATATTATGCCCCCTATTATGCCCCCGGATGAAATTCTATTCTCAAAAGTCTCAAAAGGGCACCTGAAATTGTGTCAGATATAAACGTACATGACGTCAGCCACTCCAAATATCAGTACAGTCGAATACAAACATATAAGGTGAGAAACACCTCGCAATGTATATGGACGATTGTTATTAAAGAAGGGTAGGGCCTAACGCAACACTTTGCATTGCCATGGCTGTATACCAGGCAACGCCAAGGGCAGATTCGACCCCAAAAAAGTATTTTTATCGCAGCTTGTTATTCCAAGGGTAGGGTAAGAATGGAGAGTTATATTTATGTACATAAAAATGAAATATGAATGATGAAAAGTTGAAAATAGAACGTCTCATCGAACATTGTCGAATAGTCGAGAAAAATTATAATGATACTAAATAATAGAATGATGAGTATAATAAGTAAATAGTTTCTTGATTTTGATTTGTCAATTATTCTACTTGGAGAAAAAAAGGGCACGCGACTAAATTTAGCAATAGAATACTGTTCGTGTGAACTCGGAAAACTACACAGGTAACTTTTTTTTAAACAGTGTTGGAACTTCACGAACTGAACGGCACAACTTGAACGTTTGCATTGTCAATGCAAGACTGTGCTGTTTACCAAGTTTCTGTGTACTATACCACTCCTTCAATAGAATCGTTTTATACTTTGGAAGTTCAATGCGCAGCTCACAGCAGTACAAATCAAACCATATTTCCGCCTTCCTGTGATTATTCTTCTGATCTCTATTATTTGCTCACATCGTTGGATTATTTGCCATGATACAGTAGTAGGCTGTGGCTGTCTCTGCATCGTTTCTCATTGGTAAGTTCTATAGTCGTTCATTTTTGGAGAGTTCGCTTTCATTCAAATGGTTATCGCTATAATGTGGATCTGAAATCTGTTTTGTTAATCTATACTTTTGTTAACGTATTGGCATTGTCGTAGAGTTATGATGAAGTATGGACGGCAGTCTTAAGAGGTATCCTCGTGTACCCGCCCATCCATGCACCGTCACCATCTAGGGGCTAGGATGTCGTAGGGGATGAATTAAGGGTGCTGTCAGCGTATTTGCAAGTGAAAAGATACCCCAAAATTGTGAGAATATATTTTTTATTTTTTTTATTTGTTTGTTCGTGAACAAACTTTGAAGTGAAAAGACACCAGATCAGCGCACAAACACAAAAGAAAGTTGAAATTCGCCCCAGGTACCTGCTCTTGTCGGTACATTTAACTTATAATAAAACATCTATAATCTATAATTAAAAGCGTTTCAAGCTTACTTTAAAGAATAATTTAAACTCACCTAAGATATTTGGGGCTGTTTACTCAAATTGAGTTGAATGAAAGAAAAGTTGGTGGGAAATTAAGGTGTGGTGGTATAGTGATTCTAATCTAATGGTTGAAGGTTCGAATCCCAGCCAGGCACTTACGTCATTTGACAAGACATTAATCCACATTGCCACTCTCCGCCCAGGTGTAAATGGGTACCTTGGCAATGGCTGGGGTAATACTCATTACAGGACCCTCAGGAAGAACAGCTTTAAAGATAATGAGGCTTCCCTGAGTAAACGAAAAGAATAATTATTATTTATATTATATGGCCTATATACTATTCTCGCACTTCTATTACAATCGTGATTATATGCTGCTTGTAAGTGTCGGCTTGCATGGTGATGTAGATATACAGCAGGTTTGCATGATTATGTTCGATCTACGATCAATTTCTGAAATAAGTTTGAAAGGAAATCCACATAGGCCTGGATTGCGGTGATTTTATCTGTCGGGCATTATGGGTCAGGCTATTAACACAATAATAATACGTTACACTGGTAACAAAAATAAACAAGTCCTCTCTGACATACACAAACATGTAACTGTATTTTCTGCGTCTATACTCCATGTTAATTCTCTCCTGTGTCATGTATATTAAATGCAGAAGCGGAAACAAGGTAAATGCAGTAAACTCTTGTTTTTCTAATTAGCTCACGCGTATATAGGAAGGAAGTGGTATGGATAGATTGAAAGATATCAATAGAAAGAGAAAGAGAGATTAGAGAGAGAGGAGATGAGAGAAAGATAAAAGAGAGAGAGAGAGAGAGAGAGAGAGAGAGAGAGACGGAGACGGTCGAGGACAGAAAGAACAAACATGATCTGATATAAAGTGTGATTTAAAAAGTATAAATTAATTTTGTTAAGAGGTTAAAATATTCCAGTGAACTATACTAAAAGCGTTTTTTGAAATTATAAACAATGTTAACAATTCCCTTTAAGGAGAAGAGGGATTTGTAATCATTTCGCAAATCAAATGCAATTTTAGGGAGGTGTGACCTCGGTGTGAGCCGCAAGAACCATTCGTTTCCAAGTTCGTTTCCATGAGAACTGTTTTTTTTTTTTTTGCTTTTGGCTGGCCATGTCCTTAACTATTTTTGTGTTCACAATGAATTCACTCCTAACATAAACACTGCCTGAATAGAAATCCAACCTCTCTGAATTTTTCCATGATTTTATGTCCATTCTGTCCCCGAGTCCGTTCCACCACGCACAATGGATGTCCCAGAGCGTAACAGTTCAACTACTGCATGCATGCTGCTTATTCATGTATTCCCTCGATTTGATACTGTATCAGCTCGATCCAGTTTGACTCAATTGACCGGTTTGCAAACATAATTCTCCAAATGTTGTGCATATTTTTTAAACAAAGGTTGCTCTTGACAACCTGACAGCTTACTCGAGGCTTGTCCAACATAGCAACAAGTGGTGTATGCAGACTGGATTCCAAGTATTGTAGTTCACTTATTCATGTCTATTAATAGTGGAACAACTCGTCAGTATCCCAAGGAAAGAAATATCCATACAAATTTCAATTGTTAATAAATCGGCCTATTTGAATCAATTATGCCTTAAATTATCAATATTGTACATTATAATGGGTCATTATTATGGCTTCAGTATTATTATACCGTGAACTTGTGAGCTACTGACGTCGTGTGTAGGCCATATTACTAAGACAATTTCGATAGTGAAAAAAAATGAAGGATTAAGAAAGTTATGAATTTGAAAGTCGAGATTACTGTTATGAAAATGATGGGGAATCTTTTATAATTATGGAAAAAAAACTTCCGCATAATTTATATTATGCGTCCAAATGACTCAAAATTTATTTGTATAATTATCTATAAAAAAAGACTTACTTTTAAACATATACATTAGATGTACACTTACAATGTTTACAACGAAGCATTGTGCAACTCTTCTATACACGAGCAGCGACTCGATTTTAGCGTTATTTTCTAGTAAATACTTTTTGTTGTAATTGTTGTGGGGGAGAGCAGACGACCTGATCGGTGAAGTGTTTGTCAAGATACACCCCGCACCCTTACGAAGAGAGAAAATCATAATTTTGCGAGCCTAAAAGTTTGTATTGTAGTGACGCCCTTGTACTTTCATGTTCTATTATTTGCCAGGTCACGTAGCGACTAAGCGGAGAAGAAAAACAAATCATCTTGCATTTCATTATTGTTTGAAATTGTATACCTTTTATTTTAGAGCAGTTTGATCACCCAAGGAAATTAGAGTCTGATCTTCATATCTACATCTCTTTTCTGTTTAATAGGATCACTGAGGTCCGTTAAAACATGATTATTTTGGCATCTCTGGGAGGTTTTCTGAATGATTGGGGGTGGGGGGGGGGGGTCTCCTTTAATTAATTCCAGGGCGGCCTCTAGTTTGTTTGTAAGTTGTTTGTTTGTTTTTACATTGCTCTATTTCCGAAAAAATAATCACTGCATAATGGTTCCTACGTAACCTAAAACCTAGTTTCCTCTTATAAATTATGACTTGTCCTTTTTTTGTTAATTTAAATTTTTACATTTTAGGCTAAAATCATATTACATGAGCTGTATAAAGCCCTATACTCTTCTGAATATATTGTACCATCAAAATAACAGCCATGCAGAATGACCCCGATTTAATATACTCCACCGAATTAGGTACCGAACTTCAAAGTTTGTAAGCATTTGTTTAAATGTAGATCTAGGTTTCCTTGGAGAAAGCTAGATGGGGGGGGGGGGGGGGGGGGTAATAGTTTATAAAAGTTAGCCTGAATCAACATAAGCTTAATGAAAAATAAACAGTGAGGTGTGACAGTTCCAGAACAAAGTAGGAGACAACAAATAATTTCGAAAGTCGAGATTAGTTGCGCGTGATATGAACAATATCACTACTCAGAGTATATGCCCGAGTATATGGCAATGTAATGACATGCAGGGATAATTCCTAACCGAAAAGAGGGATCATTTGAAAGTATTTTGCAGCATCTACCGTCAAAATTTGTTTATCTTATATTGCAAATGTGGTTCAAACGCTTTTGCAAACTAATTATTATGTCCATCCCAATTCCATCTCATTTCTAATGAGATGCAATATCCCCTCCGCTTAAGCGGAGAATTGTTTCTTCCTCCCTGAGTATATTGTTACATTGTATGACCCTGTTTGTTCAAATTATTTCTATTATTGTGTTTCACAGCAACACTAAAACACAAAAATGTGAATTTTGATTAATTTTACTCTCAAATATTTGGATTTGCAGGAATTCAGACGAATACATGTATAGCCCATCATGATCACTTTGCGAAACATCGAAAGAGCGGTTCTTTTGATCTTCGTTGCCGTCCTCCCATTTGCTCGTCCGCAGTGTGAAAGCGATCGCAGAGGCATTATTCCGGGGGACATTACTCTTGGATTTCTTTTTCCATTCTACGCTGCAAGTGGAGACGGGTTTTCATGTGGAAATGGCATTTCAGACCATCAAAACATTCAGTTACTAGAAGCTGCCATTCATACAATAAACAACGATGCTGCAACAGCTACAAATGGAATCAAAATTGGTAACAGTCCCGAGTGCTGCATATTGTGTTTGTAATCCCCAATTTATCTTTATCGGGGGAGGGGGGGGGGGGGCACGTGCATACAGCTGTTCAAAGTTCTTTCTTGTGTTCAAAAGTTAAGATGGACCTTACAAGTAAACCAGATTGTGTTTTGTGGGAAGGGGTGGGGAAAGGATGGGGCATTTCATTTGCATGATCGAGGGGGGCGAATAAGTTCAAAATTATCTGACAAGTCCCCACCCCCACCCTAGCACCCCCCCTTGCACCCCCCCCCCCCAAAAAAAAGTTTGTCAACTCCTTTATGTGCCCTGTTTGGTCTAAAATTGCTGCAGATAGGGGCATGGGGGGGGGGGGGATTTCAGGGCCACATTTTAATTTTGTATTAGTCTATAGACCTACGTGCACTTACATGTATAGTTATAGTATGCCACAGACTATATATATTTTTGTGTGTGGATGTTGGGGGGGGGGGGGGTGGTCTCTCTTGTTTTCCCTCAACCCCTCTAACTTCTCTCTTCAATTTTCTCTGCCATTGTCAGTAATTTGGAATGATGTGTACAAGCAGCTTTGAATTTGATGATTATAGAACCTAGTTGTAGTCTATATAATCCCCAGGGGGATACTCAGATTTGGTTTGGACGGGGTGTGCCGCTCAAGCCTCAAAACCCATATCCATTATTAGGGGGCATTATCCTCGAAAAAAGAAAAATGGACTTATTTTTAATGGTATTTTTGTTAAAAGTGGGACCCATGTTTAAGGAATTTTTGGGAAAAAGTTACCCATTAGAGCGGCACACCCTGTATGTCTTAATATGTGAGTACCCCCCCCCCCCCCAGGGATATAATCTTATTTTTTTTGTAATAGTATATCCCTTTGTTGATTTGTATGCATTTTTGTATGATTGTTATCCATGTCAATTCAGTATGTCTGCAATCATGGAATATTCTAAAAGGGCATATCAATTCAATTCAAATTTAATGTTTATTTTGACAGGTTTGGAGGCATGGGACACTTGCAACTCAAGACAGGTTGCCGTGCAGAGAGCGATGGAATACTTGGGTGACAGAACACCAACAAGACAAACTTCTACACAACAATGTGACAGTGCTGCATTTAAACCAAGTAAGTAAGATATAAACCGCCACTTCACAAACTAATACACAACAATGTGATAAAGCTACATTTAAACTGAGTAAGACATAAACCCCCACCTCAGAAACTTATATACACCGTAATGTGATAATGCTGTATTTAGTTTAAACCAAGTAAGTAAGATATAAATCGTCACCTCACAAACTAATACAAAACAATGCTATAATCTCATTTAAAAAGATGCTATACTCATTAAGTTGCAAAAGTGTACTTTGTTCATTATTTGTCCAAAGTTTAACTGACTTGTGTGTTTTTGTATTTTTAATTTTTTAATATTGTTTTTAAAAGTAGATTACTGAGTGATTTTTTTTTCTTCAATGCAGAAATTATTTTTGTATACACCCACTTAGGATATGAATGAAGCATAATACATCAATTGCTTATTTATCTAAATTTCCTGTCAAATTCTTCCATGTTTTTTTCTTTCTCAGTTGTGATTGGTCACCTGATTAACGATGAGGGTCCAGCCGTTGACGCCCTCCTGACCGATGCTATGGTACCTGCCATCAGTTACGCGGCCACTCAAGCTATGCTGACGTCAGACAACGAGTATTCATTCTTCTCACGTACGATTCCATCCGATGATGACATCGCAAGAGTAAGACTTGGATTCTCAAGGTTCTGTCCCTAAATGATATCGATACAAGTATCCCCCAGAAAACTAAATCAATGATGTCATCTGTCGAGAGTCGGACAGCGTAAATGCTTTTAGTATGAGTAAATAATGATAATACTTGTTTTCAATGACAAGTTATAAAACGTGTTATAAGCTACTGAAATCCTTGCATTTGATTGGCTGAGAGCAAAGTTGTTATAGAGCTTTGGCATTGGTTATTGGTAAGAAGTTAGATGAAACGGGGCCCCGGTACTAGTATGACTGATACGGGTTCACATTGGCATCAAGTCAAATTGAATAGATGTAGAAATAGAAAATTAAGGGTACCAGTAGATGAAAATTTGAGAAATATCTGATAAAGAATAAGAAGAATTATGTAATTATTAATTATGCAACCTCTCTATATAAATGTTCAGGGATTTGTAAAATTTTACAAAAAATAGAAATGCTGCATTCTGTGTTTCTGAGTTGGATTTCAGCAAATTGAACTTAATCATGTGTCCATGTGTATGTATATTTGGATACTTTTATTTACCTCATGGATTGCGTATTCCATTTGTGATTTACCTAGGCATTGGTTGCTATCCTGAAGCGAATGGGTTGGACTTACGTTGCCATGGTGACTACAGATAACTCCGGAGAGAGGTCAGCAGGTCAGACGTTTCAGGACATCGCCGAATCTAACGGTATCTGCGTGTCTGTCCAGAGTAGGATACCTGAGGGAACCGCTGAAGCGAGTGTATTCAATCAGGTCTTGACCGACATCGGTGCTAAACCTAAGGTTAAAGTCGTGGTGCTGTTCACGTCGTCATACCTTGCGCAAGGCCTCTATGACGCCGCCGATGCATCAGGTGCAGAGCTGCAGTGGGTGAGTTACATTTAGAGATGAAAGATGAAACCAAGTTTGTATATATATATATATAGAGAGAGGCAAAGCTACATTGAGAAAATAAGTAGCAAGAGAGAAAGAGAGAAAGAAAGGGAGAGAGGGGGAGTTGGGGGGGGGGGGGTGGGAGAAGGGTAGATGGGAAGAGATACAACAATGTATAGGGGAAGATACAGTAGAAGAGGGAGAAGGAGAAAGAGAGATAGGGATGGTTAGGAAGAGAGGGAGGGAAAGATAGATTGAGAAACTGAGAGAAACAGTTACACAAATTTGTTTGTGTATGCTCTCTAATCTTACAATGTACTGTAAACGCTGTTATTCTTGTGCGACCCCAAAACATATTCGCGGGTTCTTAAAGGTAAAGACCAGTAATGGTCATGCGATTGCATTGTGAAAGAAACGTTGTGGAATTGATCAGAAAAGGTCGATCATCTAGCATCTAGCATCTGCAAGGTTCTGGAATCATCAAAATGATAAGAAATTTGGCTCATTCTTCGTAAAGTTACAAGCACTATACACAGAAAGATGTATATGGGACTACCCTATCTCTCTCACCAGACCATGAGAGAAATAAATTTACCAAATATATGAATTAGTAGTCGGTTTCCCGGCAAATTTTTTATCATCATGTATTAGTCAAAACATATTCTTTCACATGATTGGTAATGAGAGCTTCCATTTCATTTTTTGAAATTGGGGCGTTGCCAATACTGGTCTTTACCTTTAAATTCGCGTTGCAGCCCATTCAAAACATGCATAAGAAGTCATGCTTACATTTTCGCGAGTTCTAAAATTGTGCTTGCCGATCTTAGCGTGATTTATGTACCGCACGAATTAATGTACCGCAAATATTTCCACGTTTACAGTAACTTGTGAAGTAGGATGGTGTATCAGAGAAATAGTAGAGTTTCCTTCTTACTCATTAAACTGGGGAAGCTCTCAGAATGTATTCCAAACAAGTTGCCTTCTTTTGTTTGTGTTAAGGTGCTTGGACATCGGGCTCTACTAGATCCCTCCAGCCTTGACCAACAGCCAACGGTCACCAGGGGCGTGCTAGGTGTTCTCCCGCAGAGTTATTCTCCTACAACGTCCGACATCAACTCGGGCTTTGATGATTACTTCAAGGGCCTTACTCCAGCTACAGTCAATACTACAGCTGATCCGTGGTTTGTTGAATTTTACCAGGAATCTTTAGGGTAAGAATATCGTGATATTATATGATGTGTGTCATTTATTCACTATTTAGTGAAAGATGAAGCTATAAAAAGTACTATTTCTCCCAATAATATTCTCTATGTAATAGTATTTGTATTTGATTGTACCTATGTAATCATGCAGTGAAGCTCCTGGTGGCCTGCTAGTAATCTGAAATTTTCATTGAAATGCAGAGAATTTATTCCTTCTACAGACCCATTCAGTTAACCTACATGTAGGTAAAGCAAGGATTTGAACCCTCAACCTGTCGATTGAAAGACGTGAATGTATCCCTCTTACCACCACTAGTGCCTCAATGACCCTGATAATCATCTATGCATTCATTCATTTTTTTACTTCTTTTTAGGACAAACTGGTATTTCAATAATTACTGGTAATACTTGGATAATTTGATGGTTCATTTTGTTTTTTTCATCTTTTTTTTGTGGTCCAGATGTAACGTAGGTTCGCCAAGCGGTGGAAGGCCACAGTGCGGGAGTGTACAGGCCCAGCAGTTTGTCGACAGCTACGTCAGGAGCCCATACTATCAAGGAATCAAAGATGCCGTCCAGATAGCGATGTCAGCAGTGCGTCTTTTACAGGAGAAGAAATGCCCCGGCATGATGGGTGTATGTGGACAGCTCTTGGCTGCGACACCGCAGGAATGGCTTGCTACTGTGAGATCAATCCCCTTGGACGGTCAACAGGCTTTCAGACAGGATGGAAGCGCTTCTAATACCATGCTGAATATCTTTAACATGAAGACGTCTAGTGCTGGGTACTCACTTCAAAATGTAAGTATCTCTCCCTCTCTTGTATCCTTCCTCCGCTAAGATTGGAGATCGTCGGCACTGTGAGTCTGCTGAAGTTCCATAAATGGCTTTCTATTGGTTAAGTGTTGGGGTACTTAACTGTTGTTAAGTAGACTTTGACTGGTCGTGTGAAGATTGCATATAAAATATAGGATATCTTTATGGAGCTTTGTTTTGGCACTATTCCTGATTGGGTCCAGGAGTGAGAAAGATCTCCAACTCCAAGAACAGCGCAGGCAGGGACAGACTCAAGTATTCTGCAAACTGTTTTGTGTTGAGCTTATCCTTAATACGTTTGATAAGGTCTTGATGCACAGATGATAGGGCTGGGCAAGTTGCAACAAGGTGCTCAACATCCTCTTGCTCTGCCCGACACAGACGGCAGCAGTTATCAGCCGCCTTAGCATGCTACACATTTACAAAAACTGTAGATTTTGACATTGTTAAAGAGAAATTAATTGAATAGATGACCCTACTTACTACTGATCATGATATTCATAATACATGTATGACAAAAAAATTATTACAATGTCGTAAGTACATTGTACCAAATACTTGTAGAACTACTCATGATTTTTTAAAGTTCAGAATTTTTGTATGGGATGCTTGGATTCAAAGCACTTTAAGAGATGCATGGTATTATAAAAAAGATGTTTAGGTTTGAAGATGATTAGTTTTTTAAAGTAATAAAGCACAGATTTGAATAATACGGTCTTTCATATTTTATCTATTTTAAATTTAATTGTTAATTTCATGAGTGCAGGAGACATATGAAGCTTGGCTTTCAAAATTTAAGGTACTCAATTATATTTAATGGTTGTGGCCTCTGACTAATAGGAAAATTAGAATCAGGGTAAATTACTCAAAAATCAAAGTATTATTTAGAAGTTTGAGCTGATCTTACTATCATCTATCATATGTCATGAGGTAATAAATCATTAACATTTGCTAGCGGAATGTTTAAGCAAACATCAGTGAGGTGTGTTTTAAGTTTACTTTTTGTTCAAATAATAGAAATCCTATCACCTAAACATATTTGAAGAGGTACCTGACTGTAAAATATTGCATGACTCTGATGTGTACTTAACTGTTCAGTTGGGCATGACTATTATGAGGTTCAAAATGAATGAAAAGAAAAGAAAAAGAAAGAGATTGATGCAGAAGAAAGAAAGAAAGTAAAATAACGATGAAGAAGAAGATCAAGAAAAAAAGGAGAAGTAGATGATGAAGAACAACAACAACAAGAACAAAAAGAAGAAGAAGGAGAAGAAGGAGGAGAAGAAGGAGGAGGAGGAGAAAAGAAGAAGAAGAAGATTCAATTGTTTTTTAAATAAACAGCTCTCTTGAAAGATAACACTCATTACTCATGCAGGATCATGCATTGGATGTCTTGTTTTTGATCAGTAAAACTTGCCAAGTCAAGTTTAGAAAATCTGAAGATGGGGGTGTTGGAAATATCTCATTGAAAAGAAAGTGTGAATTTACAGTGAAATGATTTTTCTTACAACATACGTGTAAGAAACAAAACGAAACAATATTGGAAAGGTAATGGAGACGATGATGATGATGATGACAAACACTGAAAGGAAAGTAAGATTATTAGGTTTGTGTAGGGAGGCAGCATCACAAAATTGACTCAGATACATGTACCTGCGATCTCGATGGCCCTATTTGAGTGAAAATGACAGAAAGAAATGAAAAGACTTGAAGTTGATGTTTGTTTGGTGTCTGAAGAAAGAGGAGTCCGGGACCTCTACTAAAATTTCCTTTCGATGTTAAACAGGTACTGCATACAAAGAGCTAGCTATGCACATACGTTTGTATGAAAACATCATCCTACAATGAATAATAGCTATTCAATGGTCTAGTGATCATGGATCGGAGGTCATATTTGCCAAATCAAAACAAATATGATTTCATTGCTGCACTGGGGTGTAGATGAGATTCAATGCAATTCATTTAACTTTCAATTGGGGGGCAGACAATGAAAGACATTGTCAACTTATTTCTTATTCCCAAATCAATTTTATAGGAGACTGCTTACCCTTTCCAGACAGTACATTTTGAATACTTCATTGTATGCATGCAAGTTTGTCTCGGTCTTGATTGTTTTTCCCACTTTAACAAAGAATAAACTGCACCATTTGCAATAGTTTAGCAGGCTAAAGTTGTACCGATTTATAAATCTGGTGACAAAACACATCCCTAAGCATATGGTGTGCCGCAGGGCTCAATTTAAGGGCCACTGCTATTCACTGTTATTTATGAAATATATAATTCAAAATGAAAGTGACATGATAGTTTTATTCAGAATGATTCAACATTTCCTTGAGTAGATGTGTCAGAGGCCTGCCTATCCTATATCTGATTTGAATCAAGGAATTTAGACTGCCCTCACGGTTTATCTGCTTGATTTGAAATCTAGTGTGACATGGAGGGACAGGGCAAAATATTCTTCAGTTATTGTGTGTTTCCCACTGCACATTGTGTGGACAGCAAAATAATAATGATAATTGTTCGTTCGTGTCTCCTTAGATCAAGATTAATGTATCTTGATCTTCGGAGTAGTTGCTACAATCGGCCGTGTCAGACACGTTGCCCCGGGGTGCTTGTAGCATGCCCCCATTTAAAACAATTATACAATAAAAGTTAACATTACATTTAATTAATAGTATGAAACTATTAAAATTTCTCTCATGTTACGGAAAAAAATATATATATATTATGAATCAATTGATTTGGTCGATCCAGTTCGATGGCACAAACACGGCACTACTGGACAGAGATCCTAATAATTACAGAGCTTGGTCTTGTTGCTCTGTTCGCCAGCAGTTTGAGGATATGGAATCCCGCGGCACATTGCTCACAAGAGTTCTAACAAGCCAAGCTTTACAGAGCCTATAATAAGTAATGTTGTGCATGTACCACCCACCCGATCGATCAAAAACTCAGAATTCATAACTGAATTTTAAAAAAAATGAAAAATAAAGAAGAAAAAAAACCGAAATGGTAACCATCTAAAATTTCATAGTTGTGACAAATATCTACCGGTATAAAGATTTATCAAGCAAAAAATATAAATAATATCATGTTTAAGAAAAGGATATATACACTTTGTTTTCTTCTTTCGTGTCCTCAAATGCTCTGCCAGGCTTTGGCACACTAAAGAGCCTTCTCATATTTGCTGCCACTAGGTCTTACAGGCAGCATTGGTCCATAATGATAATGATAATAATCTTTTAAAGTCCACTCCAAATTTTATTAAGTTAAACTGAAAATGGAAATTCTTTTTGCCCAATTGATCGTGAGCCCGGTAGCCACTGAGCAGCGCCAGATCAACGTTGCTCTATGTTGCTCTATGTTGCTCTACGTTGCTCTATCCCTTATTATTGAATACCAAACAAGGTAGCAGCAACTCCCGTCTTTTAACGTCTTTTGGTATGACGCGGCCGGGGTTTGAACCCACGACCTCCTGGTTGTGAGGCGGATGCTCTTCTGACTGAGCCAACACACCGGTTATTTGAAGAATTGTTGTGGAAAAAATATGAATCTGGACATGAGGTTTGATTAAATCTGCATGAATCCTTCCATTTCCTTGGGTATCAAATCCCATCCATAAATGTCAGTGATATACAACATGAGGTCAATTTACCGTCATGGCGGAAAAGAAAATTTAAAACACCGTTGTTTTTTTGAACTACCATGTACTCTACAGGGAAAACCCTTTACAAATTGTTGGTGTTTGCTAATTCTGGTTTCGGGGTTCGGGGAACTTGGGTGTGCAAATGGATTTCCTTCCTGGAACAGAATAAATAATAACGTGTAGATTTTTTTCAAAAGTTTTTGTTTTAAATGGAACAAAGAATGAACCCCATGCCTAAGGGAAGCGGGTATATAGAAGCTGTATCAAAACCTATGGGAATGAGGGAATATTGGTAGGCAAAGGTTTCAAGAGAGTTAAGTACAAATCAGAATATTCAAAAATCAAGTTTACAGGTGTTTTATCCTTTTATTCCTGGCGAGATCCACAGACATCTATTGTAGTGAATGAAATATGGTGATTATTGTTAAAGTTCATTGAGCGTATCTGCCGGAATAATGAATAAATAGACATTCAAAATGAGAAGGTGTAAATATGAACAACTTGTGTTCGTACGTGTACAGTAGTTGGTGAATTGACATGAATAGAAGGTCATAGTCTTGTTTGTGTAATGAACTTAGAAAATAGGATAATAAGCACATGAAAACAGGTAGCTCGGCGATAAAATAGTGGCACAAAGAGACTCGTCTGGAATGCAAAACTGCATAACTGTTGAAAATTATGATTTCATCACACAGAGGTGCATAAAACCACATTGTCAAGAGGCGGATCGCTGGTAGATACATGTACAATGAGGCTTAATGTTACCTAAATTTACATTAAGATATACTGGTATGTTAAAATAGAACTTCTAATGACCAAATATCACTATTTATTATGCCCTAAAATGTTTATGTTCTGGATCCATCTTTTTGTGCTGCTACATTTCTCTATTTTAAAGATACCTTTAATATACCTCTTGTTTGATCGCAATTATTCTTTTTATACACAATTTTATTGATTGCATTTATAATTTTTGTTCCCCAGGTTGGTTCATGGCAAGATGGAATGCTGACCTTTGACCCAGCCAATGTAGACTTGTGGACAGGGGATTCTAGTCAACCTGTGATATCTATTTGCGGAGTACCATGCCTCGATGAAGCTTGTAGAGCTGTAGCAACAAACAATACCATGGTATGGAGTCTATCATAATCAACTTCCTCTCTCTGTCTGTCTTTCTTTCTATCTATCTCTCTCTCTCTTTTGTCCTTATTTCTGTTTTTCTCTCTTTTTACTTCTATCTCTATCTCTTTTTCTTTCTTTCTCTCTCTCTATATTTGCCTGTCTTTCTCTGTCTTACTCTCCGTTTGACCATATCTCTGTCTTTCTTTTATGTTTGTCTTTCTCTTTCTCCATATGTTTGTCTTTCTCTCTGTATTTCTCCCTCTCTCTTTCCCTCTCCCTCTGTCTCTCTTTTCTCTGTCTGTATCACTGTATTTCTCTCTTTCCTTTTATCTCTCTCTCTATCTGTATTTCTCTGTCTTGCTCTCTGTATCTCTGTCTTTCTCTCTGTCTTTCTCCCTCTCTCTTTCTCTCGCCCTCTGTCTCTCTTTTCTCTGTCTGTATCACTGTATTTCTCTCTTTCCTTTTATCTCTCTCTCTCTGTCTTTCTTTTCTCTGTCTGTATCACTGTATTTCTCTCTTTCCTTTTATCTCTCTCCCTCTGTCTCTCTTTTCTCGGTCTGTATCACTGTATTTCTCTCTTTCCTTTTATCTCTCTCCCTCTGTCTTTCTTTTCTCTGTCTGTATCACTGTATTTCTCTCTTTCCTTTTATCTCTCTCCCTCTGTCTCTCTTTTCTCTGTCTGTATCACTGTATTTCTCTCTTTCCTTTTAGTCTCTCTCTCTCTCTGTCTTTCTTTTACTCCATATGTTTGTCTTTCTCTCTGTCTTTCTCCCTCTCTCTTTCTCTCTCCCTCTGTCTCTCTTTTCTCTGTCTGTATCACTGTATTTCTCTCTTTCCTTTTAGTCTCTCTCTCTGTCTTTCTCTCTGTATCTCTGTCTTTCTTTTACTCCATATGTTTGTCTTTCTCTCTGTCTTTCTCCCTCTCTCTTTCTATCTCCCCCTCTCTCGCTTTCTCTACCTGTATCACTGTATTTCTCTTTCCTGTTATCTCTCTCTCTCTCTCTTTCTCTCTCTCTCTGTATTTCTCTGTCTTTCTCTCCATATTTCTATCTTTCTTTTTCTCCATATCTCTATCTCTCTCTCTCTCTCTATCTCTCTCTCTCTTTCTCTCACACACACTCTCTTTCTCTCTCTGTATGTCAGTCTTACTCCCTGTCTTTCTCTTATCGGTACTCTCTATCTCCCTTGTATTGTCACTTTCTCTCTTTGAAGAATAAGAATTTCATGCCGTAAACAAATTCATCAATTTGTTTTAACGGAAATGTTTTTTCTCTTGTATTCCTCGTAAAATAATAAAAATATATTCTCATGTCAATCAAATTTTCTTTTGTTACTTTATTTTGTCAGTAATTTAGCCCTGAATTTCAAGGTTAGCATGCAAGACAAATCTTGTGTTGTACAATGTTTATATCAAAGAATAAATTTCGGTTTTTGTTTTGAAAGAGTAAGACAAGCATGTGATGTGATTGTCAAATTTTCAAAGACGGTGTTTTGAAGGGGTAACCTCGCTAGTCATAAGGACCGCTATTCATAACGTTTAACTTCCTATACCTGAAGGACCACTATTAATAAATCGGAAAGGGGGTCACTAATCGTAAAGGCATAAAGACCGTTATTCATAAGGACCACTATTCACAATTTGAGATGAAGGTTGCTATTCATAATTCACATTGAGGTTTATTACTCATAAGGACTGCTATTCATAATATGAAATTGGGCTCAGCATTGATAAGCATGAAGAAGGGGCGTTATTCATAATTTACATTGGGGGTCACTACTCACAAGGACTGCTATTCATAATACGAAATGAGGGTTGCTATTCATCTTCAATCTTCTCGTATTATGAATAGCAACCCTGATGAGTAGTGACCCCCAATATAAATTATAAAAAGCGCCCCTTCTTCATGTTTATGAATAGCGACCCTGATTTCGTATTATGAATAGCGGTCCTTATGAGTAATGACCCTTATGAATAATGGCCCTTTTGGGAAATTTTGGAATTTTTTATCTCTACACAAAAGTGTGATATTGGTGTACGTAATTATGATATTATGATTTAGGCAGACTTTTACATTGCTTTTAAAACATCACTTTCTTTGATAGTTAACTACCGGTACACTTGCAGATACCCCCTTCCCCCCGTTAAATTTCTTGTAACATTGACAATTTTGGCTCCAATTATTTGAATAGAATAATAGATATGGCTTATGATAAGCTCAGACCACATGCAATCCTGTGACAATAAAAAAAATCAGCCACGAAAATGAAATTCCCACACCAAATCATCTAAAATGTGTGAAAATTTTAAAGTGCCAGTATTTTGGGAAAGTTTGTGGGGGTTAAGTTTTACTCTTAAACTGTATCGTGAGTGAATGAGATCCTTAACCTTTTGCTCATGCAGGTGTGGTAGACAATAGACATAATGTTTATTTGCAAATAGAGGAGATTGGCACCTTGCTGGTAAATGATTATAAGAAGGAAGGAAGGAAGGAAGGAAGGAAGGAAAGGAGAAGGGAAAGAAGAAAATAATTCTTCAACAGGTATCATGTTTATTTGGGGAATTCTTTACTATGAATCATCTATAGACCTTTGTGATAGTGGTTAAAGGTAAATGAGGAGGTGTTGGAGTGTTTAGTGGAGCACTTGACTGGAAATACAAATGTCATGAGGTCCGATCCCTGACATAGCACTATGGTGACCACAATGATTGGAAGGCTCCACAGGGAGTGGAGATGATGCACATTGTGCATGAGCGAATCCGATGATAGGGTAATAATAATATATGCGCCTAGAGACGATAATTTGTTGAAGTGCTATATGAATCAAGATTTTTAATTATTGTTATCATTATTATTATTATTATTATTATTATTATTATTATTATTATTATTATTATTATTAAGAGGACAATACAGGGATGTACCTTATTAATTGCCCTTGCGCTAATTTTGTCCATGCATTTTTAAATGATGAATTTGGGACTTTCATGTATATTTATTTGAAAATATGATTTTAAGGAACTTCATTTCAGTAGGAAGTATTAGTGCAAAATCAATTAGGTATGTTAATGCTCAATCAGATATGAAGCGGTAAAATGCTGTGGGTTTTTAAAATGTAAATGAAGAGCATTTTTTACAAAAGAATTGTTCACCTGTTTGTGTTATTTCAGGTGTATATGGGTGGCGACATTATCTTAGGTGGACTATTCTCTGTGCACTCCTGGGATGACTCTACTCAAGCGTGCGGTCCGATCCGTCGCGAGGGCGTCCTTCGTCTGGAAGCCATGCTGTATGCTCTGGATCAAATCAACAACGGCGCAGACCTCTTGCCTGCCATAGCGCTTGGCATGGACGGGTTGGACACCTGCTCTAATAAGAGAGTAGCTGGTATGTTTAGTCTTTGCTTAAAGGGATTGGGTAACTTCGTCTCAGATTCTGAAACAAAATTTAGCTCATGCTGCAATGATAATTATAAACCTTTAGGTCAGTCAGGAACCCCATGACTTTTACAAGTCAATCGCCTGTCTGGTTATCAAGATATTTATGATTGGAAATTTGGCGTTTTCCTAACAGTTTTCATAACACTACAGCCAATTGGGGAAAACGAGTATGGTAAAAGCGGTCACTCAAAGATTTTTACTTTTTTGAGGCACTTCATGATCATTTATAAGCACAATTTATTTAGGGCTTCAATATTACACCATATCACAGACACTGATAACACGTAGGGTCATGCATCTCAGATTTAACATTACACGATGTCTTTAATTTTGTTGCCAGTTCAAACTGCCCTAACTTTGAAATAATTTATCAATTGCATACCGCATATGAAGATTCAAGGGCTCTGATTGGTCAAAACTGCAGGCACGAAATTCACTACCGACTGCTATTTTATTGCTATGGGGGTGATATTTCCCAACCACAAGATTTTGATAACAGACTCTTTTACACCATTGTGTGCTAGTTCTTTCTTAGCGAGTATAGCGCGCGTGCCGCTTGTCCCTGCTCTGCATGCGTTAGCACTGAGAGTCAAGAGAGCAAAAACAGGAGTTATTCACCAGTGTTTTGTGAGAGAGCATTTACATTGCAAAAACTGTCAGAGTTTTTTCAAGCATTAAAAAAAAAGCTGCTTCAGAGGTGGAGCTGTAAACCCGAGCGAAAATTTTTGTGGGTTGTACGATTTCAAAATCTGATACAAGTAATGGGGTGAAGAATGAAGAAGCGTTTTGTAAGTAATGAGTAACAGCTTAAACATGATTCTTTAAAATTTCTTTTGAGACTGTTAACCAATGAAGAGATTTGAATATATCTGAAATATAAGTTCCAGCAAAACTTGGCATGTGAAGGGAAAAAAAAGAAGGTTTTTGCCTGTAGTGTAATGCCCCTTCTGAAACTCATCCTTTGTATGTATGAAGTTCTTGGAGAAAATAGTTTAAACTCAATGGATGAACTACTTGTTGTAACAGGATGAGTCTGTTAAACTAGAAACCAAGGAAAGTTTTGCTTTAATACAATTACAATCAAACCTGTCTACTAAGGCCAACCTAGGGAAACACAAAGAATGGTCACTGTATATAGACTGTTGGCCATTTTAGACAGGTTCTTCAACACACATGTCCATCTACAAGGATGCAATGTGGGTGATCACTGTAGACAGGTGTATAGAGAGGTGGCCCCTAAGACAGTTTTCTTCTTTTGTTTGGAGACTCTCTTAACAAAGAATTTCTGAAATTCTTGTTAATGACAGGAGAAGCAGCCCAACGATTCATAGTAGAAGCAGACTTTGGGACCGGTGGGTCCGGTCAAAGAATGACCAAAGATGGATACGAGGAGCTCGTCTACGGCGTCATCGGCCCGGAGAGCGACGATGAAATCTGGACGGTCAATCGCATCCTATCCTTCTACGGTGTTCCACTCATAGCGTACGATTCGTACGACAGTCAACTCTCCAATAGACGGACCGTTCCCAACATGGCCCGTTTGACCCCCAACACGTATGCGGACACCATCCCTTTGGCCAGAGCCCTGGGTGCGAGGGGGATCCGCTACGTCCAGATGCTCTATACCTCCACCTTCTCATCTGCGAGATCTGTTTTCACAAGCATAGGAAGGCTGGTAAATAATTTCTTGTTTTTCCCCCGATTTTTTTTCCACCTTTTTTCCAGATTTTTCCAGATTTTCCCAATTTTCTCCCAATTTTCTTACTCAAAAGGGGGGAATGTTATTAGATGCCATTTTCTTTTCTTCCCCGAATCCTTTTTTTTTTTTACTCAAGGGGGGGGGGGGGGCTCACTATCACCCCTGACAATTACATGTTAGTATGCACTGTGTACATGTAAGTACAAAATGGTTAAAGATAAAGTTGAGTTCTAGTCATGCGATTGCGTTGTGATAGGATCTGCGTAGAAGCTATTGGAAAAGGTTGATCATGTGGCAAATAAGTATTGGTGTATACCGTCACTTAGCCTGAGGTTTTGGAGTCGTCCAAATGCTAAGAAATTGGCCCAGTCTTGCTAAAAGTTACATGCACTGTACTCAGAATTGTCCATATGGGACTACACCAAAACGTCGCCTGAAAGTCTGGTCCACAAACTTTAGCTGTTAATTGTCATACCGGTATTTACAATATAAGGCCATTCGAAGAACCACGTCTTTTCAGGGGACATCATTTTCTCTGATACCAGGTAATTCCACAGTTTCATATAAAAAATTAAAAAGCTCTCAAAATTCTTCCCAGAACTCAAGCTTTAAAGGGATTAGGAAACTTTGTTTCAGATTCTGAAACAAAATCCTGGATTTAGCTCATGCTGCAATCATAATTAAAAGTTTAGGTCAGTCAGGAACCTCATGAAATTTACAAGCCGATTGCCTGTCTGATAATCAAGATATTTGCGATTGGAAATCGAAATTTAAAAATTTGTTTTCCTAACGCCGGGTTTTCATAACACTACAGTCTATTGGAGAAAACAAGTAAGGTAAAACCAGTCACTCAAAGATTTTTACTTTTTTGAGGCACTTCATGATCATTTTAAAGCTCCAATTTTGTAGGGCTTCAATATTACTGGTACACCATATCACATACACTGATAACATGTAGGGCCGTGCATCTCAGATTTAACATTGTTAAACAATGCCTTTAAGATAAAGACACATCTTCTATTTTTTTCTTCTTTAGAACTCTATTTGTGTGTCTCAAGCACTATCAATCGATTCCAGCACAGATTGGGATGATACCTTCAATAAATTAGCAGCTAGGTCTGAGGCTAAGTTCATTGTTCTTCTATTGGAACCGTCTTTGGTCCAGACCTTTCTATCGGAGCTCTCGTCTAGGAACCTCATTGGACAGTATTACCTGGTCGGTAATTCTCTGTTCCCCCTGGACGATTATCTTCAGAATGATATCGATACTATTAGAGGTGAGATTTATATTATTTCAGTAATAATAACAGTAACTTTTTCACTGTTACACTTCCAGTATCTAATCAAATACATGTTTATTCTTATCTGTTAATATTTTGTATTTACGTAATGAAAAATAATTTAATTTTTACATATTTCTCAAGCATTGAATTTGTAAATAAATGTAATTTGTCATTTGAATGTAATTGTTTATGGTACAAAGTGATGTAAAATGATATTTAGAAATTGTAAAAGATGGGCAATTCAGTCTGTGGCTGCAAAGCTTTGTCAAAAGGAAACCATATTGAATTGAATTGAATATTTTCAAATCTTTCTGTTTTCTTCAAAACAGTTTCAAAACAATTGAAATGGTACATATCGAAGTCCAACTATAAAGTTACATGTCTGTGGTCTGCTTTATATCACTTTCTTTTATACCTGAATTATTCCTCACGTCAATTTTGCTTATAGATGGTTGATTGCATGAGTGAGACATTTTGTAAACATGATATATTTTCATAAATCATCAAGCAAAATTATTTTTTCAGACAGGTGAACAAAAATATATCAAACAGGATAATATTTACAAAACAAATTATAACATAACATGATCATTGTATGAGTTATGCACAAGCTAGTATTCCAACTTTCATGATCTCTAATTTTAAATGTATTCTTTGGTAAGTCTTTTAAAATATTGTACTGCATTCATCCAAGTCAACCTTATCTGAAGATGCTGGTTGATTTGAATTCTATTCATGAGGGATTATCAAAATAGAAGTTATGAGATGTTAGACGATGATAACAGACTTGAAAACAGAAATCATTTTCTTTTCATGACACAACTTTGAAAGGCCTTACACAAGTTAGCAGGCTTGGGCGTACCTACCCGCCAGCATTTGTGAGTTATCTGAAGAGTCTACGACCGGAAACCAACAGCAGGAATCCGTGGTTTGCAGAGTTTTGGATGGATCATTTTCAATGTCAACTCAATGGATACGAGTCTACATATACTACCCCATGTACAGGTAAGTGATGCCGTAAAAGCATTTTTTTGTTTTCCATCTAGGTGTGTGTTTTCACTAATGTGCAGATGCAAGGACCAAATTAAGCTGAAATATGGGAAGCAAGAGAAGATCCCCACCTATAAAAAAAAAAAATTATAATAAAAAAAAGGAAGAAAAAAAAAGCAGACTCCCAAATCGAAATATGAATTGGAAGTCTTTTCAAACTGAGAGAGGCAAGTGAAATTAAAATTGGTCTAGGTAACTTATCAAAAAAACTTACGTGCTTTATCAAAAGATGCACCTTGGTTGTATGAGGTGTAATTATTGGTAATTTTGGTGCATCAGAAAGTGAATCTTGACTTGTCTGATTGTCAGTGTTGGTCTTATTCTATCCAGCGTAATTGAGGAAGCAGGGGGTTGTAGCTGTACATGTAGATCCTTATAATATGCCTCTGTCTCTGTGAAATAATGACTTTAAAGCCCGTCTGCACTAGTTTGGCCAGGGGGGATTAAACCTCATCAACTCAGCTCTCAATTAACATAAGAGAAAGAGGATCATGGGGGACCAACAGGCACTGATTGGGGAAGTTTTCTATATAGAGGGAGCAAATAGCTACAAGTTGTACAGTGGGGCTTTAAGCAATTTTTGTCTCGCCTGCGTAGCAAAAAAGCGAGACATAGGCGCCGCTTTTCCAGTGACGGCGGCGACGGCGGCGGCGTCAAAGTCAAAAACTTAACCTAAGGTTAAGTTTTTGAATTTTTGATATAATTTTGAAAGTATAAGTCCTTAGTCAATGAAACTTGGACTATAGGGTTATCAAGTATCCCCAATCATGTGACTTGAATTTCAGGTCACAAAGTCAACGTCAAAGGTCATTTCAGGTCAACAGACTTAGACTATTTGTGGCATCTTTATCGAAAACTTAACCTAAGGTTAAGTTTTTGAAATTTTGATATAATTTTGAATGTATAAGTTCTTAGTCAATGAAACTTGGACTATAGGGTAATCAAGTATCCCCAATTATGTGTGCAGAATTTAGGTCACTAAGTTAAGGTCAAAGGTCATTTTAGGTCAACAAACTTAGACTTTTTTGTGGCATCAACATCAAGATTTCGAATTTTTAGCATATTTTCAAAAGTGTTTGTTCAAATTCCATGAAACTTGTACCCAAGGGTTATCAAGTATCACAAGTCATATGACACAAATTCCAGGTTACAAGGTCAAAGCTCATTTTAGGTCAGTAGACTTGGATTATGTTTTCACAACTTAATATGAGAATAAATGAATCAATTTTCTTATTTTTTCATGATTCTTAATCAATATTCACTTCAAAATGCTGATTATACTCAGAGGATTTCATTTTGGGGGGCCTGCTAATGGGCCACCCTTGCCTATAAATAATGTTCCAACCTCAATTTTTCATCATATCGAATTGCGTAATGCAGGCGAGACCGCCGAGAGCGTTTCCCTTGTTTATAATTTTTGATCATGATACGTCTTTACATAATTGATCTTGATCTGGATATTGTTTGTTCCTAGGTAATGAAGCTCTATCTGATGATGATATCTTTGATCCAACCGTTGCTGATGTCGTGGACGCAACGTACACCATGGCAAGAGCTCTTCATGATCTCCAGCGAGAGAAGTGTCCTTCCTCTACCCAGATCTGTACAGAAATGATTGCCAGTGAAGGCAGTGAACTGTTCCAAAAAATCACCCGGCAGTCGTTCACCAGTCCATTCGATCAAGCGCTTATTCGCTTTAATTCCGTCGGAGATGTGATTTCCAGTTTCTATATCTACAACTACCAGCAGTCTGGATCTGGTAGTCTCAGTCCTGTTCAAGTAAGACCTTGTAATAATAGCTGGGGGGTGTTTCACAAAGATCTTAAGTCGAACTTATCTCTAAGTTGTACTTAGATATTATGGAGAGCCATTTGTAGCCTTAAAATAAAATCTATTCAAAAGCAGAAATTCAAGTATTTTAGACTTGTTATAAATTCCTTTAACATCAAGAACATGAAATCTTCTTGATAATAGAAAATATGAAAGATTTGAATCAACATTTTATGCCTTTTAAAATAACTTTACAAAATATTTTCATAAATGCTAACGGCTTTCCATAATTTTTGTTTTTTTTGGTTCCCATAGGAAACTTACAAATTGTGGTGATATAAATCTGGCTGTTGACAACCATGAGCTGGAAAGAGTTAACACCTATAAATATCTTGGAGTTTGGATGGATGAGACATTAACCTGGCAAAAATATATTGAAGAAACAATGAAAAAGATTGGTTCCCGACTTGCACTCTTTGGTAGACTCCGAAAATACCTCACGGTTGACAGCTCTAAAGTCCTAGCTAACTCACTTATATTACCTTACTTTGACTACTGTAGCAATTCATGGTCCACATGTGCACACTATTTGAAAGACGGTTTAATAAGACAACACAAGAAAATGGCCCGGTTGATCTTAAAAGTCAATTATTCTACTCCCATTGAACAGGCATATAACAAATTAAAATGGGTTTCAATTGAAGAAAGGTGGCAATTCCATAAATGCAAAACAGTGCACAGTGTACTCCGCGGGGAAGCACCAGTTTACCTCATTGAACTTTTTGTACGTTCAGAAAGTATACATTCACACCGGACAAGAAATGCAGTGCACAATGGTGTTGTGGTGCCACTTGTCCGCACACAGGCTGGTAAAAAAGCCTTTTCCCATTGTGCTTCCGTTCTCTGGAATCGGCTGGATAGTGGTATTCGGGGCGCTGTTTCTAGGCAGTCCTTTGCTACTTCATATTGGAGAATTAGAAATCAGTAGATGATTTGGTATGAACTCAAACACATCAACAAACAAACAAAAAAATAAAAATTCAATATGGGGTGGCGAGGGAGAGTAGTGTTTAGAGGTAGTGCCTCGGACCCTGCTGTCCAGTTGGTTCCAGCAAGCGGAGGTATTGTGGGAGCCTTATAGTTGTTTTTTTCTTCTTCTTTTTTTCTTAAAAGTTTAATATTTCGTGCAGGTCTGATGTCTTAGTAATATTTGTTGTTTTGTATTCATTTACATGTTTGTAATTTGTGTTGTACTATTGCAGGGCCCCCGAGTATTGTGTTTTACTCACTGATGGGGTTACCCTGGGTAAATAAAACAAAATAAATAAATAAATAAATGAATAAGTCCAACTTAGAGATAAGTTCAACTTAGAATCTTTGTGAAACACCCCGCTGGTTTGATGGTTTGATGGTTTAGTTTACCCGACTACTAAGAAAGCATGTTAGCAACCATGAAACCGACGGCTCTCGGTGGGACTTGGTAATGAGGATTAATGCCTTACCAAAAGGCAATAGCGAAACCACTTTAATAGTTTCAAAACTGAGACCTCTCGGTAACGAGACCACTTTACCACTGACCAATCTCGATCGCCTTCAATAGAGATGTACAAGCGTGACTTTTGCTTCACATGGGTATAAACATCGGTCACTGGACTTCATGCACCATCCCCGACTCCCTTGGGGCAGGCACAATCCTAGAATTATGTGGGGGGAGGGGGGGGGGGGGGGCTATGGGGGGGCTTGTGCCGTACATAAATTCATTTATTATCAAGATTTTTTTTCTCCTCGGGGGCTTATGGAAGTTTGTGCTGTAATTAAAGTCACATCTTGCAAGGGATAAACCTTGCAATTGAAACTGGTCTCGATATCACATGTCACAAACACAACCTACATTTTGTCGTCTTCTCTTTCTACTTGCAGATTGCCTCCTATATCTCCTATGCCTTTGTCACGACTGATGAAAACTTGATAGTTTATAACGAGAATGGGCAAGCCGTGACTGACCCCTCGACACAGTGCACAGGGATATGCGATGAATGCAACACTATTGGGAGAGGTCAAACAGCTTATATACCAGGAGACCTCTGGATAGGAGGTGAGGAAAAGCGCACTTCGAGGGGTCAGTGACACAAGAACGTAACTCCATTTTGGCCATTTTGAGAAAAAGTGGTTTAAAGATAGAGGTCCACTTGGGCCTTAATGAGTTAGATCTATGTTTCACTAGCCATTGACATCAACGGGGTGTTGGGTGGAGTTAAGTCTTTGTGTTCCTGGAAAGCCCACATGTTTCGGAACATTTTTATTTTAAATACTCATTTTTTGGCAAAATATGGAGTTACGTCTTTGTGTCACTGTACCCTCAAATTCAAATGCTGGATAGCAAGATTCAATGCCCTCCTTTAATACATGGTAATGATAATATTAATAGTAGTGGAGTCTTGTAAAGCGCTTATGTCTGGCACATGGTCATTCCTGGTGCTCCATCATTAACCCCCGCTTTGGCCCGGCTGCCATTTCAGCGCTCAAGCATTTTGAGGATTTAATTCCTGCTGCGTAGCTATTTGCCTCACCTGGGTGGAGTGGCAAATGTAAATTGTCTTGCCAAAGGATCAACATTAGTCCTGCAACAGGGATTTGAACCCTGTACTTTGTGGTTCACAGTCCAGAGACTTATCAATTAGACCACAACACCTCTACACCTCATTGGGGCATTCCAGGTATTGAATTGACAATTGATTGCTATTATTGTTATTAGTATTATTATAAGCATAGTGAGACACCTGCACTCTGCAAACTCTTTGTTTGGTTAATATTCCTTTGAAAATACATATTGACAGTTATATTTTTATCAAAATTTCCCTTTTTTTTATGTAAAGGTTCCTCACACAGGATGTAGTTTATGAAGCAAACATTGATTACCCTTTTTACTTTATGGGCCTACTTTTTTTTAAATCTTGACACTTGCATGTCATCCGAGCTTTGTTTAATACAAACTATTCACATTTAGGTAGTGGGTATGTATGTGATCAGGAGGGTGTTTCATAAAACTGTTCGTAAAGTTACGCATGACTTTACGAACAACTTGAACATGAAGATAGGATGCCCAAAGTTTTTCCTGATGTTTAAACAAAGTGTGACAATATTTCCAATAACCTCAATTAAATTATGGCAAAAAATATACTTTGCATTAAAAGTGCTTGTTATAATAAGAATGTTAATCTACATCTGCACAGTTTAACTTAAGGTGTTGCAGTTAAAAGTGATTGAGCATCCCATTCGTAAAGTCATGCGTAACTTGACAAACAGCTTCATGAAACACCCTCCTGTTCATCTAGATCTCTGTACTTGTACTGTGTGATTTACCATGTGATCCATCGACTTTTTCACTGACCTACAGGTTTCTTTAGTATCTCTGAGGAGGCTGACGATCAGTACACATGCACAGGTCGTGTTGATACATACAACATGCAGCTCCTTGAAGCATTCCTCTTTGCTGTGGACAAGGTCAACGATGACGACACCATCCTGCAGAACTTCCAGCTTGGTGCGGTGGGTTTCGATACCTGCGGGAGCAGTGATAAAGCCCGCAGAGAGGTGTCTAACTATGTAGCGGGTACGGTGGAGTACAGGACGGGCTACTTCCCAACCAGCATGAGTGTTGCAGGGATAATAGGTGGACAGACCAGCGATACGTCCCTCGCTATCGCAGATGTGCTCAATAGTTTGATGGTGAACCAGGTGAGCTTTGGGGCCTCCACCACAGAACTGAGCGACGACGAAGAATATCCGTATTTCCTTCGCACGCTACCTTCCGACTCCCAACAAGCCAGCGCGTTGGTCGATCTGATTTCAAGATTCGACTGGTTTTACGTTTCTGTTGTTTACTCTGATAATGCTTATGGGAATGATATCTATGCGGAGTTTAGGAAGCATGCAAGGGATGCAGGAATCTGTCTTGCTATGGCTCTAGGCGTTCCTGCGACAGGAGTGGTGAACTACCCTGGCATTGTCTCATCACTGATGTCTAATCCTCAGTCCAAGGTGGTTGTCCTCCTGACATCAGGTGTCCACGCCAAGGGTGTCCTAGAGGCTGCAGAGGATGCGGAAGCCTTTGACTTGCAGTGGATCGGCACCGATACCTGGGGCAATCGTAAGGACATCACAGCAAATGCAACCAGGGTGGCTCGAGGGGCACTTATCGTTGAGCTGCAAGACAATACCACGCAAGAGTTTGAGACCTTCTTCACTCTCCACACCAGTTACAACAACAACCGCAACCCTTGGTGGCAAGATTACGTGATGGATGTCTTCCAATGTCAGATCAGTGGCAAACCATACCGCTTTGATACCCCTTGTGCCCCAGGCTACCAGGATTTCAGTGACAAGTTCACCCAGGCTACAGAAGTCCAATATGTCATCAATGCTGTCTTGGCATTTGCTGTTGGACTTGACGGGGCCATAAAGAGCTTGTGTCCGAATTTGAAGGAGTACGAAACCTGCGATGAGATCTACAGCAATCCGTTGATCGTTCATGATCATATCAGAAGGGCCAATTTTCTTGGTGCCGATGAGAGACAGTTCGCATTTGATGAACAAGGTGATGGTCAACCTAGATACAATATCATCAACCTTAATGACAGCCTTACTTTTAACAAGGTATTTATTCCACCATTGTCATGCCGTTTTAATTCTTCTATCTTTTTTTGTGTCAAACTTTTTGTGTAATTATTAGAGGGGTGATGTCGATGGCAAGGTAATTGATGGAACATGAAAAAAAAAGAAAATTGGTTAACATCATTATCTATAACGAAAATAACAAAAACTGTTGGAATATATTTACATGTAAGCAGTTTATTAATTATTAAAACACAAGTTCATTGGTGAGTAACATGAAGATATTTTACCCAAATTTGACCTTTTGGGGGGTGGGGGTGAGTGGCTGGGGTGGGAAGGAGAGTTGCTTTAAAAAAATCATGTCTTCAATTTTGAAGGATTTCCATTTTATCAAGAGGAATCTTTGCAATATGAAGATGGAATAAGACTGATGTTAGTAATAATGAAAAGAGGAAAAGTTTCAATGGCAGTGGTTTAAAGCCCCACTGCACTACTTATAGCTATACTTGCACCCTCTATACAGCCAATAATGCCTAAGCGGTACCCATTGATCCCCCATGATGCCCTTTTTCTTATGTTAATTGAGAGCTGATTTGATGAGATAATCCCTCCTGGCAAAACTAGTGCAGAGGGAATTTAAATTTTATAATCAAAATCCTTTTTATGCCTCCGTTACGAAGTAGCCGGAGGCATTATGTTTTCGGGTTGTCCGTCCGTCCATACGTCCATACGTACGTCTGTACGTACGTGAGGTCATGGTCAAAGGTCATGCGGCTCATTATGCATGCAAAAATAGCTTGTGATCGCATTATCATTAGAACAGATTGATGGATTCCTCCCAAACTTAGATCATGTATGTATCTTGCAGAGCCAATGAACTGAGTAGATTCTTGGGTCATGAGGTCAAAGGTCAAAGGTCATGGGCTCATTATGTATGCAAAAATAGCTTGTGAACGCATTCTCATTAGAACTGACAGAGGGATTACTATTTAACTCGGGACATCTTGCAGAGCCAATGAACTGAGTAGATGTTAGGGTCATGTGGTCAAAGATCAAAGGGTCATATATGTATATGAGAAATTGCTTGTAATCACGATATTCTGAGAACTTGTTAATGGATTACAATTGAACTTGAATTTGAACAATTTCTTCTGTTTTGGTTTGTAAAATTGCTCTATGACGGAGGCATCATTTCGACTGCGCGCAGTCGAAGTTCCATCTAGTTTTTTCTCTCTTTTATTTTTTTTTTCTTCCCTTTTTCTCTTTTGTATAAATCCAGGTTGGAACGTGGGAATCAGGTTACCTTGTGATTTCTAAGAATGTTCAATTCTACAACGATGCAGTAGAAGTCTCTTCTCTACAGAGTAACTGTACCGGTCGATGCGCAGAATGTTCACAAGCCTCGGCCACCCGACCCACGGTCATCCAACGGGGAGGCGAGCTCCAGATAGCAGCCTTGTTTGCTGCACACGACCAGCCGCAGGACGTCAGTACGGACTGCGGTTCACTGCGCATCGAGGGTGTCGTCGATGCCGAAGCCCTGCTGTATGCCATCAATGAGATCAACTCGGATGACAGCATCCTACCGGGTATCACCCTCGGCGCTACTGCGTTGGATACCTGTCAGAGTGCTAGTCGTGGTGTGAGCGAGCTCTCCTCATTCTTGAGTGGTGCATTGACTCAGAATCATCAACCGTGGTTCCAGATTGCCGCAGTATTGAGTGGAGGAAGGCCCGACATGGTGTCGAATACAGCAACAGTCTCACAGGAATATCAATATACTCAGGTAAGTTTAAGAATCGGTACTCTACGATAAACCTGTTTGGCATCATTTTCAGACTTGTTTGTAAGAAATGATCTTTGTCTCTGTCTTTCAGATATCTTATTCATAAGTGGGAAATCCATCCAATTGAACAGACCGTTCTCTTTTCTGTACTGTATACTGTAAACCAAAGAGAGTGTTTGATCCTCAAACTTTGTTGTAAGAAATGATATGTCTCCATCTTTTAGATATCTTATTCATCAGTGTGAAATCCATCCAATTGAACAGACCGTTCTCTTTTCGTAACAGTACACTGTTAACCAAAGAGAGTGGTTGATCCTCAAACTTAGTTGTAAGAAATGATCTATGTTGCCATCTTTCAGATATCTTATTCATCAGTGAGAAACCCATCCAATTGAACAGACCGTTCTCTTTTCTTAACAGTACAATGTAAACAAAAGAGAATGTTTGATCCTCAAACTTAGTTGTAAGAAATGATCTATGTCTCCATCTTTCAGATATCTTATTCATCAGTGTGAAATTCATCCAATTGAACAGACCGTTCTCTTTTCTTAACAGTACAATGTAAACAAAAGAGAATGTTTGATCCTCAAACTTAGTTGTAACAAATTATCTATGTCTTCACCTTTCAGATATCTTATTCATCAGTGAGAAACCCATCCAATTGAACAGACCGTTCTCTTTTCTTAACAGTACAATGTAAACAAAAGAGAATGTTTGATCCTCAAACTTAGTTGTAAGAAATGATCTATGTCTCCATCTTTCAGATATCTTATTCATCAGTGTGAAATTCATCCAATTGAACAGACCGTTCTCTTTTCTTTACAGTACACTGTAAACCAAAGAGAATGGTTGATCCTCAAACTTATTTATAAGAAATGATCTATGTCTCCATCTTTCAGATATCTTATTCATCGGTGGGGAATCCATCTTCCAATCTAATAAGCATTACAGCAAGCTACAATGATAAAGCCGATGCTCTAGCCAGTCTTCTCATGCACTATTCATGGAGCTACGTCGGTGCGGTCTATGATGGTCAGGACAGGCAACAGCATACGTGTGAGTTATAGTCTAATGTTTAAAGAGAGGGTTGAGTTCTGGAAAAATAATTTGTAAGTGTTATTGTATAATGCAAGTGTGGAAGAACATCAGATAAAAATTGTTCCCTAGAAAGCATGGCTCTTCAAATGCCAAATGGCATTTAAAATCATAAAATCGGGACAGATTTAAATGCCACATGTTAGTGTAGTCCCCTATGCATATTTTTGTGTACAGCGCTTGTAACTTTACCAAGATTCCACAACGTTTCTTTCACAATGCAATCGCATGACCAGAACTGGTCTTTACCTTTAAAGACACATAGACGTGGGCTCTCTTGGGGAATTTGACACTATTCAGTTGTTTTCCCAATAACAGGTGTTGTCAATCACCAGAATTAACCTTCAGTGTTATGACCACCAGGCTTTACCCCATATGGTAAAGTCCTTCTCTGACATTTGCAACACCGGAAGACTTTTAGCGAGATGAGGGGGTATTTCTTGATTGACCTACAGGTTTGCTGTGTGCAGACTTGTTCACCCATAATGACATTTCCATCAAGTCTGGTGTCACTAAATAATGACCTTCTGCACATGGAAACTGATGACTCCCTTTAAAGTACACCAATCAATATTATTTTTATAGAAAAGTTACTGGTTGGAAGTTTGCAACCATTATTCTGTATGGCACTTTCTGTTTCAGTTTTATAATGTAAAGCACATAGAAAATGAAATTGTAGTTATTATATATCTAATAATAAATTAATAATTAATAGATATTATTATTCTGTCATTCCACAATACTTGTTCTTTTCTTTCTTTCTTGCAGTATTCAATACATTTCTTGAAGCATCATATGAGGCCGATATCTGTGTTGGCTTAACAGCAGCATTGACTGGTAACGACCCAGCTTCCGTTCTACAACAGATTGAAGATAATGGCAATATCAATGTGGTAGTGGTCTTTGCAGACGCTGTCCAGACCAAAAGTCTTCTGGAAGCAAGCCAAGCTAGAGGCGGTAGAAGGTTGACGTTCATCCTAGCTTTCCCTCAAGAATACCCCGCTGATGGTATCAGCCAGAGCTTTGCAGGATCCCTTGCTTTATTCACACCACCACCTCCTGTAGCTTTCCAGCAGTACTTCACTGCCCTTGATCCAACAGACGAGGGTGTCAGTCCTTGGTTTGTAGAATACCTTGAAGACAAGTTCAAGTGCGATGTAGACAACGACGGGGATTGTTCCGGAACCCTCCACGCATCTCTTGAAGATGTGTTGGAGTATGGTGGTGCTTCTTCGGATATCATCAATGCTGTAAGTGCCGTAGCACAAGGGACACACAACCTCCTATGGCAGCTCTGTGGTGAGAACTACAACGGCTTGTGTGCCAGCTTCGTAGAGGCAACGGCAAACCCTGAGACGCTGCAATATGCAATTGCTAATGTGCCTTTCACTGGTATTGGAGGTCAAATGATCAGTTTGACCAATGGAATGAGAGCTGGTCAATTTGATATCTGGAATGGACAGCAGGATGGTCAAACTAACAGTTTCAGTAAGGTCAGTTTTTCATATCGGCTTTTTTTTTACTGGTACAGTCAAACCCGTCTAAGGCCACCCAAGGGATACGGGAAAACTGGCCACTGTAGATAGGTGGTTTTTCTAGAAAGGTTCTACCGGTACATCACATGTTTCTTCTCAATAGAGGGAGACAGCATAGGGTACCACTAGAGACAGGTAACCTTTGTAGAGAGGTGGCCTCTACGACAGGTTCGTAGGTTCTTACAAATTGCCAGTTTGCTAGTGAACGCGGCGGCAAAACAGTCAACAAGTCTTAACCCTATTTAACCCGGGGGGAGGGGGGGGGGCTTTAGAAGCCCCCCCCCCCTCGACATTTTTCGCGATAATTTTTTTACGCAAGAAATCTTGCACTGAAATTTTGTGACTTTTTCTTTCGAGTCTTGCGCATCTTTTGAAAAGCTGAGATATGACGTCACATGTTGAACATGATGTGCACACGCAGACGATGTCCCATGACATCTCACACAATTTCAGTGCCTGTTTTGTCATCTTTCCTTCAGTTATTTCTCTAACTTCAATGCTCTCAGACGAAATTTTTAATCTATTGCCTCACTCTAAACCCCGTGCATGGTATTATTTTGATGAAAAATGCAAGGATTTAAAAAATAAAGGAATCCGTCGCTTGTAAACAAAATAAGACACCATTGTATTTTCAGCTGCATACACCGCGGCATGTTCGGCGTTCAAGAGGGAACAAATGATGTCTATGCTATCATTCCGGAGGTTTTTTAATTTGAAAGTGTGTTTTCTTTGACTGTTCATTTAAACCTTATCCTGTGTATTTACAAACAAAAGAATTTAGTTATCAGAATGGGGGTCATATCCCTTTTTGAATGGTGTAAAATTCCATCACATTTATATACACTAAACTCATTATAATTTGAGAAATAAAAGCATTGCAACTATGTTCATTCTTTATGGGATTTCGTCTGCTTGGGCATGGTTGTTTCATATTGTGACGGCATTAAAACATCGTTATTTTCCGGCGAATCTCTCGCATACCGGTATCCCCGATGCTATGGAGGTTGTTTTATTTGTATTTTTATAAATCACCCGATATGTAGTTGACCTAAAACTTGCATGATGGCCATCTGTTAGCATACCAGTTTCTAGTAATATGCTATTTGCCATATTTGTGATTTTCTATGAACCCCCACTTTAAGACTCTGATCTTACTATACCTTATGGATTTAAAAACCTAATAAAAATAAAGCTGTTTAATAATTTTGAATCGCTACTTTTCACCCAGGTGTTATGTGGGTCCCTGGTTGGATGCAAAATTTCATTTCATTAGATTAGCAAGTGCGACTGGATGGAATGCTCCCTCCGGAGTGGAAAGTGTGCACTGTAATTGAACCCATTGACTGAGGTCATAATAAGACTGTAAAAGTGCTTTGGTCTGTTAACTGGTTAATAGCTTTATAATAAACATTCACTATCATTTGTAAACTTGATATCTTTTTAAGGATGAACATTTAGATTTTCAATGTTTAAACTTTGTTTTGATTTATCGTTTAGGTTGGTAGCTGGAATCGAGTTGGATTGATTTTGAACACAGATGGAGTGCAGCTATTTGATGCCAACTCTAATCGAGGTCCAGCACAATCCGAGTGTAGTCCAGGTTCAACTTGTCAAGACACCTGCTCTGTTCCACCCACCACACTACCACCGTTCACCCGCGAACCACTCCCATCCACTAGACCAACTCCACCACCTTCAAGAATACCTGGCGGTGGTAACGCAACAGCATTCACATCCATTGGTAGCATCCAGTTCTACATCCTGATTGCCATAGCTGCCACAGGGGCCTTCCTCACTGCTGTCATGATCATCATCCTGATAGCAAGATGGAACAATCCATTGGCGCGTGGCATGTCCTCCTTCCTTCATCTCACTCTCCTCCTCGGAATCCTCCTCCTGTTTATCTTGGTCCCCATCAACTCGTCTCCCGAATCAGCTATGATCTGCGCCCTACAGCGTGTCATCACCGGAATCGCTTTCGCCTTCTGCTACGTCTCCGTCTTCCTGCTGCTCGTCCGGCTCTACCGTATCGGGATCCGGGAACGTCGCATCGTTGGGAAGAGGGCGCCGTTCATCAACAACTCCAGCCAGGCATTGCTATTCTTCGTCTTCATCATGATTGAGGTGGTGTTCTTGGTACAATGGTTGGTTCAACAACCCCCGACTCATTTAAGCTACGCGTCGACGACGGGTCAGGAGAGTGTTACTGCGTACTGTGGACACACGTCAAAGGATACAGTTCTTAGCCTTCTCTATGTATATCTCTTGATGATTGTATCGCTGGTCATCTCCATCCAGGCCTGGTGCTCCATCAAAGTGGTCTTCACAAGAGAGTTCTCGATTTTTATCGCAACTATCGCAAGTAAGTACCAAGTACAGTCAAACCTGCTTTAGTGACCACCTGTCTACAAAGACCTCATTTTGTGTTTCTCTTGGATGGTCGCCATAGACAGGTTTGACCGAATCATCTCTCGAGTATGTATACATAACAAACAGACAGCAAAATACTAAATTCACCTCATGAATGATTGCTAGAGCCCTGTCTTACAAAGAGTTGTGATTGATTTGAAAGTGGACAGCGAGTCCTCCCATCAATGGCGAACTTGTATCTCATTAGTACAGAGTTGCCATTGATTATAAGATTGCAATTGATTTGAAGCAGTTGCAACCATCAATAAGAATAGGCTCGGTTTATGTCTGTACATTGTCATACACATGCTAATAATAATAATCATAATAATAGTGGGTTCTTGCATAGTGCTTATGTCTGTCAGGTTTAACACTCCTGGCGCCCCACAATTATTACTCCGGCTTTAGCATGGCTTCCATTATGGCACTCTAGCATTTCAAGGAATTAATTCCTGCCAGGTACCCATTTACCTCACCTGGGTCAATCGAGTGTGGCAAATGTAGATTAATGTCTTGTCAATTGCAGGACAATAGTGATTTGCATCCGCTGTAGTTCAATGCCACCTAGAAATAAAAATTTCTACACAGTGCCTTTCACAGGTTATTTCATGACCAGTACACAACCTCATCTTTGCGAAAAAAAACCCAGAAGTCTTTCAGCATCTGATGCTTATCATGTCATCATCCAAAAAATGTTAACCTTCAATTTTATTACTTCGATCCTAGAGTGGAGGTGTTGTGTTATAGTGGTACATTCACTTGACCCTCAATTCAAGGTTCGAGGATTCAAATCCCAGCCTGGCACCAACGAGAATAGGAATTACGAGAAGGAGCCTGAAGATCGAAGGAGAAGAAAAGGAAAAAGAAAGAAACAAAGACTAAAGGAAAGGAGGCGAACAAGAATAATTAAACAGGAGATAATGTGGAGGTTGAAGGCTATAGGGTTCGAATCCCACCCTGCTGCAAACCTCCTTTGGAAAGACATTTATACGCATTTGCCACTCTCCACCCAGGTGTAAATGGGTACCTGGCAACTGATGGGGTATGTAAAAACAGTTGCAGGGCCAACGGGCAGAACAGCATTGATGCTCATGAGGCGACCCTGGGTAATCAAAATAATTATTATCGAAAATAATAGCGCTAGTGATATTCGATTGTCTCGCAATGTATGGTCAACAAGGGATCTAAAAGATCACAACGTTTCGTGTGCCGCTGCAACACTTTGTCAGGTGATAAAATCTAATGTTATCTTGTTGACCATACATTGCGAGACAAACGAATATCACTAGTGATATTATTTTCGATACTACATCTGCAATGAGTAATATATTTAGCAAAATTATTATTGTTATGATTATTATTATCCTCTCTCCTTGTTTGTTTTTTGTCCTTGATCAAGTTTGCCTGTGTGTCATGGTTGCCTGGATCATTGCTGCTGTCGTCGTTGTCGACCTCGATGCAGGCTCGCTGATGTCCAGCATCAATGCCATCGTCCAGGCTTTCATTCTCCTGTTGCTCTTGGTCCTTCCCAAAGCCAAGCTGCTATGGTCCGGGAAACATGACGAGTTCTGGGAATCGTCCAGTGTGACGTCCAGCGAGTACGGTGGAGACCGTAGACAATCGGGAGGTACCGGTAAGATGTCTAAGATAGGAATTTAGCTGAGAATTTGTGAGCTCTTCTTTTCACGTTAGTGTGGAAGATTATCATAGTAAAAAATAAATTGTCCTTGGGGGTGGTTCAGGGGTAGGGTAATTTTCCATGGGGGTAATTGTCCTCCAGCGGGTGGGGTGGGGGGGGGGGTGTCCTTGGGGGGTAATTTTCCAGAGGGTGATTGTCCTGGTGGGGGGGGGGGGGGGGGTAGTTATCCGGAGGATGATTGTCCAGGGGGTAATTGTCTCAATAAATAATCAGATTTATCAATCCATGCTACAAAATATATAGATTTCTAACTAATTAATATGCAAGTTGACCCATTGAATACTGAATTAATAATTGATTTCAACATTGTTTTAATTATCATAGACTTTGATGGACTAGAGAACTACCCGACTGGGGGAAGTGCCGACAATGAATACGATAGTCCTGTTGATTACATGCACGAGAACCCAGTTTATGAGAGCACTCTCCCGGATAAATCTATGGACCTTGCTACCATTTGAACCCAGCATTTGAGAACGCTCTTCCAGATAAACCTATGGATCTCGCTAACCTTTGACCCTGGCTAACTGCAATGATAAGTCCATGGATATTGCTGAACTCTAAAATGGCTGCAGTTAACAAAGTCAATTAACCTGTTTTAATTAAAAAAATCTGGATTTTGAGTGAGATTGTCAAATATTTGTTTTCCTTATTTTTTTTATCATGCGCAGTTTAATAAGTAGTTTATATCAGCAAAATGTAGAGAATAACAAAGGAATGCTGAAGATGACATACATTACCATTTACAAAGTAACTCACAAGTTTTCTTGTGTATTCAAACGTTTCATATACCAATTCACACTCCTAACAGGTGCTTCTTATAGGGTGCCAGTAGGGGTGTTGAGAAGAAAATTTAAATAGATTAGTAACCTACCTTAATGAATTTGAACAAATAGCTCTTTAAAGGCAGGATATTTTAGCAACTTCGCTACCACTGCTGAAATGCATTTCCAGCAGTGGTTTGGTTAGTAAACGGGTACCAGTTTGTATTTTTCTCTGTTTTCTTTTGTTTAACTCTAAGTATATAATATGTTATTAAGTGTTGTATGCATTACAAGAACTACAGAAATATCGAAGTGAAGACATTACTTTGTCACGATTGCATTGAATTTGGGTTATTTTACTATTACATGTACATGTTTTTTTGTTTTTTTTACTAAAGGTGACTGTTCATATGCAATTACTTTATATACCAAATGAATGTACATTTTTACAAAGTTAATTTATTTCAAATTAAGAGCCAAAGAAGAGGACATCGCTTTGCCAAAAAACAACCATGTGATGTTTAAATCAGTTTCCATTGAGAAAAAAAAAGGAGAAATAATTCTTAGTTTGTTTATTAAAATTAAAAATGTGTAATATATATATATATATATATATATATATGAAATTTTGGTAGAAACGCTATAACATTTATGTATTTGATCTCTTTTTTAATAAAAAATTTCTTGAAGACACATGGAAATTTTTCTTATGGAAAACCAGTTCAGCTGCAAATTTAGAAAATTATTCATGAATGTGTCATAAAGATGACACATAATATGCTTTTTCTTTTTAGGATGTTCCATGTTAGGTTAGGTTTTTAGATGTTCTTCAGGAATTCCATAACTCTTAATTTACCCCAGTGGGTAATTTAGCGCCAATGGAGCATGTCTCAACAGACTACCTTTACATGTGTATCTATTAAAATGAGAAACACAAAAAGACTGAAATATTTGCCCAAATAATCTCACGGTTCGTTGTCCCTCAGTCAAGTTTGTATATATACCCATGTACATGTTTAATAGTGCAATGAGCTATGCCTAATGTATTGTCTACTGAAAAAAAGGGGGAAAAATGCATTTATTTAAAAAAAAAAGAAAGAGAACAACTCACTTTGTTACACTGTATAAAAAAAGGAAGACACATTTTGGGTTTGGGAGACCTTTTTGGGCCAGCCCTAGTCAATTAGTTGTTTAGAACATGGTGTAAAATTAAACCTCTTTTGTGAGTATGGGTCATACCGTTTCTTATGTGTACTGCTAGTATAGTTTTACAACTCAATGGACACAGTTAGGCATCAGAAAAAACGTATGAACCTTCAAACAATGCTTGAAGTCTAATTGTTGTATAGCCATTATGGAAATACATGTATATTTTTAGATCATAACTTGAACAGTACTGGAGTCCTGAAATAATCAGTGTAATTCAACTCAAATAAATATTTTTGTCATCTAGTCAAACCTAAAAGCATAGGAATTTGTGAGTGATGTGTCTATTTAAAACAAGAGAACCTTATCAGAGATAGTTTTTGGAAAAAGATCTGATTAAGGGCAAGTTGTGAAGTCTGAAGTTTTTGATCAAACACAAATTGGCTAGTCTGTGACTTCTATTGCAAGTAGTTCTCTCAACTTGTTTGGTTCTAAACAAAAAATATTTAGAGCACCCCTCTATAATTTATATTCATTCCCAAAATGGGGATGAATTTCATTATTGTTTCATGTTGGATGTCATACAGGACAGGCAACTATGTTTTGAATAACTATGTGTACAAGGCAACTAAAGCTGTGCAAATTCAAGTGGGATTAATTGATCACAACTTAAAAAATCCACAATTGTTTTAATCTTTCTTATTCTTTCTCGTTTCTGAAATGATTCTTTTCTCTCATTTTCTCATGAAAGTAAAAAACTACTGGATATTAGAGAGAATTCATCCCTTTTTAGATGTGCATTTCATTATAATTAAACAAAAGAAATAACAGAAATAAAAAGCTTTGTTGAGTAATTCTTTCGCAGACTGCATTGGACCTGTCATTGCTTATCTTTGAGTTTGTCTCAGAACTGAGTATTTGTTGAAGTGACTCGGTAACATTGTTGAAGGTAGATGACAAAATTGCTTAAAGGTAATACAAAGTTTTGGTATGGGGTCGTGAATTTGGTTCAAATGAACATATTGGAAGCATATGCGATCCTACAATATTCACTGATCGTTGTCGCGGTCGAAATCGACTCTTAAGTTATGAAATTGTAAATAATAAACACTTTATGTTGTATAGCTCCCTCTCAAGGTCAAATATTCATTAAGCTGTAAAACAATGTACGGTGATCATGACTGAAGCGTAAGAACGTGTGCACGTGGGAGCTCTTATAATACACAGTAATCAGTATGGCCACGAGGGATAACCAATCAACCATGTATTTGAATCTTCGGAGCGGACCTGTCGCTAAGCAAGTCCCCGGAGTCTCGGGGGACTCTAGTCCACCAATCCCCTCTTCAACGTATGTGGATTCGAGTAAGTCGGACTTTGAAGATTTCGTTAGAAAGGGGATAACTGACATCAAGGCCACTCTAGGAGGATTTGAAGAAGCCCTGGAATTCCAGGGAAAGCGTACTGCTGATTTGGAGAAACGAATGGACCCACTTGAGAAGAAAGTTGCAATGTTGGAGTCCAAAATTGAGCAGCATGATCAACGTACTTTGATTGATGCAAGCTGTTGTTGCTGAAAACAGGTTAGAGCGGTTTTCGCGCAGAAACAACTTTCGTATAGTTGGGCTACACCAAAATGCAAATGAAAATCCAATGGAGGTTACTAGAAACTTCCTTAAGCTTCACTTTGGTCTGGAAGGAGGGATAGAGAGGGCTCATCGAGATGGTCCTAAGATAAGAGATTTTCCTCGACATATGCTGGTGAAAATGCTGTCATACCAGGATAAGCGATACGTCCTTTCTCAACAAAGGTTGAAGTTACAGAAGGTTAGCATGTTTGTGATTGATGATCTTACCAAGTCAGATCGAGATGAGAAAAAGAAATGGAAGGATACAGTACAAAGAGCATTTCTCAACAAAGTGCGTTACCATTTTTCTGCTGGTAAATGGAGAGATAGCCGTGGAATGCTTGCCCCTTTCTATACCGGATCCCCAACCCCGGCCCCAGTTGCAACACCCTTCCATGAAGGCACGTCTACACAACACGCATCTCCTCCTCACGACCGAAGTCTAGCTACCGACACCACGCAGAGCCCACCCGCTGACCTGGATTTGAGCAGCAACCTGGCCCAGGCCCTTGCAGCTACCGACGATATTGTGAGCCAACAAACGTTTGTCCAAGATCACTCTTCAAGAAGTTCGACTCGCGTAGTTACTGCTCAAGTCCACTCAGAAGATCATGCGAACACCAATGATGGTCCCTAACTTGCTAGCATATTTCTTATCACAACACTTTGGGTCTAATTATAGCGCAGTTCAAGGATTGAGCTCCCACAGATGATCTGAGAAATCGCTCAGCACCATGTTCTTTTGCTTCGCTTTGTTTATTTTTGAATTATATGTGATTTTGTTGCAGCAATGTGTACGAAACATCAAGAATTTTTTCATTTTGAAGCATATATCATCAAGTTATCAAGTGATATGCCTATATATATTTTATTTTCATGATTTATTACAGATTGAAGTTATTGAACCAATGTTCATGTATTTTGACCATATGGAGGAAAAATGTTTCATAGAAGCTCTTACAGGACTTTTTATTTTGCATACATGTGTTGCAAGTTGGATGGTTTTTATACAATTTTTCGTCAACATGATGTTTATCTCTTGTAAGATAATATTTTGCTTAATGATGAGTAAACATTTATTTTGTGTATTTAAGAGAGTTTTATTACATAGTACAAATAACGAGTTGTTATGTGTCTTGTCTTTATGCATAGGAGTTATACATCTAATTTCATTAATGCAAGAATTCATTTGTTCAAATATAAAGCAATTTTCGTCTTCTTTCATGATGCATACAGATTTTAGCACCAGAGCACAGATTGGCTTAAGATTCAATCTACTTGAAAATTTTTATAAAGGCAAGAGACAAAATGAAAAGGATAGATTCCAAAGGTATACACTATGCATGTTCTTATATTTCCAACTACTTGACACAAATTTTATCAAGTATATTGACCATATTCGATGTTTCAGAAGAGTTCTTAAAGGACTTGTTTTGCAAGCATGTGTTGCAGGATGGATGATTTTGATACAATCTTTTTTCAGCATAATGTCTGTCTCTCGTAGGATATTTTATAACTTTTGTTTGTATGGCTTTATGATGGATATAAATTATTCTTGTCAGAATATTAATAGGAGAGCTCTATCTGAACGCAATTTATATAAACATTTCTTATGTGTCTTTAGTTTTTACATAGGTATTAAACACCTAATCATATTAATACAAGAAAGCATTTGTTCGAATGACAGGTCATTGTCCTCTTTTGCCATGATGCATATTGTGTTTTGCACTAGACTACATTTCAGTTCAAGATTTAACTTATTTGAATATCTATGTAAGGTCACTATACAGTACGCTAATGACAAGGAGCAGACATTGTTTGCCTCTTGGCCAGGAATTAAGAATGTAAGCCAGCTTTGTAATATACAATTACACTGTAAGTTACGAGAAAGGAATGTATACATCTTACAATTTCGTTTAGTTAAGTTAGTATGTGTGTTGTGTGAGCTGTATGTGAGTGTTAATTGCATTGCCTACGTAGTTGGGGATCTCGACCAGTATGCTGATTTTGTTAGTAATTATATATTATTGAGCCTGCTTCTGCCATCCTGTGTATTAGAACCTTATATAGGGAGGAAAGAATACATGTTCATATTCATATATAGCTATGGAAGGTAAAGATATTTTTATCAAATGTAATCTTCTTTCTTTAAATGTCAAAGGAATTCGAGAAAAGTCAAAGAG